TGACTCCACTGAAACTGTTCATGCCGATGACGTGCACAGTGCTAAAACCAATAGTTGGTTTTCAGGCCTCACTGTACTTGACTTCTCAGCTGCATTTGGTACAACTGACCATCACCTCTTCCTTGGTACAATTCCTCCACCTGGTTTCCAGGTTATCACAGACTCTTACCCAGTTGTTCTTTCTCATCTCCCTTGGCTTGCAACCTCTCTTCTCTCATCCTCTCAATGTTAAGGCTCAGCCCTACATCACATTCTCTGTCTGTACTCACTCTCTTGGTCATGTCACCCAGTCCCATAAATCTATACACCATCTGTATTCCAGGGACTCCCAAATATATATCTTCAGCCGAGACCTCTCTAATAAACTCCAGACTTGAGCCTTATAAGCATCTCTATTTGAACGTCTGACAGATATTCCAAACGTAGCATGTGTAGAACTAGCCTTTTCCCCCAAACTTGCTCCATCCACAGCCTCCACCACCCAGTTTATTTTTATCCCATCTTTCCAGTTGCTCCAGCCAAAAACCTTTAAGCCATTTTCGACTCTTTGTTAACTCTTCTCAACCCCCAATCAACATCTATCTGCCAGGAAGTTCTGTTGGCTCTACTTTTAAAATATATTCAGAATGGAACCATTTATCACCATGTCCGCTGCTAATATACAGATCCGAATCACCAAAATCTCTCACGTGGATCACTTCAATGGTCTCCTCACTAACCTTCCCATTCCTACCCTTGTCCTTCCTGCCTGTGCTCCAGACAACCCCCAGAGCGACCCCTTTCATTCAGACATGAGGAGGGAGAACCCGGAATTCTCATGCATTGTTGGTGGGACTATAAAATGGTGCAGCTCCTTTGCAAAAACAGTTTGGTTGTTATGTTTTTAAAAATGAAACACAGAGTTACCATCTAACCTGGTAATTCTAGTTCTAAGTATATAAAGGTCTCAATGAGAATTGAAAACATAGGTTCACATAGGTTTATACTTTGTTATATGAATGTTCATAGCATTTTTCCTAAGAGCCAAAATAAGAAAAAACCCTAAATGTCCATTAATTCATAAATGGATAATCAAAATGTGGTTATAACCACATAGTGGGATATTATTTAGCCACAAACAAGAATGCAGCACTGATCCATGCTGCAACATAGACGAACCCTAGAAAACATGATGCCGAGCAAAATAGGTCAGACGACATGCACACCATGTACGGTTCTGTGTGTGTGCAATGTGCACAATGGCAAGTTCAGAGACGGAAAGCAAACTAGCGTTTGTCAGGGCACAGGAGAAGGAGGGCACGACCGCTGACGGGCATGGGATTTCTGTTCCAGCTGATGGAAATATTCTGGAATCAAACAGTGGTAATGCTTACTCACTTTGTGAATATACTAAAAACAACCAAAATATACCCCTGTAAGAGTGAATTGCATGCCATATAAGTTATTTTTCTTTCTTTTTTTTTTTTAAGAACTGACTACAAAGTCTTTGGCTGCTAGCCAGCTGGGCTACATTTACTAGTACAGAGGATTCAATTTGTCTTTGAGCTTCATGGCAGTCAATCAATAAGGCAATCATCTTGGATTAAATGGTTCTTACCTGACAAATGAAATCTGAAATTAGGAACTTTTTCTGGGAGTAGGAAATAATACAATGTAAATCTTTTTATCAAGGACTGTTGGGTTCCATAACAGATGTTGTCTTGGTGGGTTATCCCAGGACACAGAAACAGTTTGAAGCACACTTACCCTGTTGGCCAACTCTAAGAGGTCAGGGCATACAATCTGGCCGAAACTAACTCCGTAAAGGAATTTTGCCAAAAGAGTACAGCCTATTTCCGGAGATCTAACTCTATGTCAAGATAAAGTCTGTGGAGCTAAGAGACACAGAGAATCACCACATTCCCTTAGAGCAGCTTCCTCAAATACCAGATGTCTCAACTGAGCATTTGGTAAGTATTAGAGGACAGTTTAAATTCTGATTTGTACTGTTGATTAAATAAATGTCCACATGTTTTCAATACTGAACACGCAGGTAGCAAAGTCCATGTACTGTCACGAGAACTTAGGGACTTGATTTATACCCTTGTCTAATCAAATAATCATTCTACTTCCAAGCGGAGTGAACTCTAGAGATACCTGCAGGTGGGGGTAAAACGGTTTTCAAATTCAACAAAAAACTCTGAATCTTTTCATTTGGACAAGCACTTAGCTGAGTGCCTAGCATCTATGCTGTCTGATGAGAAAGGCATAATTCCAGCCTGAGAAACTGTAAATGCAGGTGCTTTAATCAACTGCCTCGATCATGAAAGAATTTCAGTAGAATCCCTGCAAGGTGTGTACTTTGGGGTGGATTTGCATTTTTGATGAACTAGCTCCAAAATGTACCCCCTCAAGTAACTGAATGATCTATTTGGAGTTAGGGTATATTTTTTTGGGGTACTATACTACAACACTTTTCTCTATAAATGTTTACAGAAAGAATAAATAAATAATTTAATAAATGCATATTATAGTTTTAAGATGGTCCTAGAGCTGAATATTTTTTTTACATAATTTTAATAGGACTGTCATGTGCTATGCTACAAATAAACCATTCTTAGATGACAAAAAGTCTGGGATTATTTTTTCTAAAAGCATTAATATGCTTTTAGAAAAATGGGAAGAAAGATACTGAACAGAATTAGTTGTTTTTTTTTTAATAACTTCAGGTTTCTGATGCAGAGTAGGCATGAAGGTATAAAGGAGGCCAGTGCCCTGGACACTTCACTCCAGAAGCTGAGGGAGGACTGCTAAGTAAGCCCTCTCCCACCCCTCTGGCAGCCGGAGTGTAGGTCCATGGCCAGTCATGGCCAGACAGGCCTTCCTAGGGGGACTTTGAATCTGAAGAAATTACTCAAAGGCATGGGGCTACTTCAAGTTCATTTGAGGCACCAGAGGCAGCATAGTGAATTTACAGCACAGCAGCTCATCTGCAGGGACGGTGCTAACAGAGCTTCATCCCAAACAGCCCATCACTTGGCAGGAATTTGGTCTCATTTGCTCATTAATCTTCACTCCCGCCCAACCTGGCTATCCAGATTTCTGTCAATTCATAAGACACCCAAAGTAACTGAAGAGTAAACTTGAAGGCAATCAAAAAGTATAAAAAATACTAAGATTACCTTTACCACTCATTTCCTTGGAAGACTTATCACTTCTTATTCATTAACTCAGCCAAATAATGCTTAAATTTCCCAACCATACTGCTCTCTTATATTGTCCTAGTCCTTCTCTGAAATAAAGCTATCTTTTAAAAAATCTAAATGTCAGTTTAGACTCTAAATATTCAAAATGTCTAAAATATTGAAGTAATATGTACCCACCATGTTAAGAAAGTGGAGCAAATGGAGTAAAGAGATTTTTTAAATTCAATGTGCACACAACATAGCCAAAGGCAGAAAGCACCAAAATATCCATGAATGGATGAGTAAATTATTCAAATGAGGTATATTGGGATGGAATATTATACAAACATGAACAGGAGTGAGGTGCCAATATACAGATGCAGAACAGCATGCTGCCTGAGAGATGCCAGGTAAGGGTAATGGTTGTACAGCATTATAAATATACTACCACTGAAATGTACACTTTAAAACGGTTAAAATGGTGAATTTTATATTACGCATATTTTACAATAGAAATCTCAAATCTAAGATGCAAAAATCAGAAGAAACATACACCAAAATATTTAAAACAAGAGCCCTTCTACTTGCAGTAGAACAGGGTAGCTGGGCACAGGAATTTCTCTGCTTGTAAAATCTCTGTAGTTTCAGCTTTCCCCCAGGACTCTCAGTGAAGTTATGTCATTATGCAATCTAGTTTGCACGTTAAGAAATAATATTGTGTGTTGGTGGGAGAAAAATAAAGCGCATTCAAAGGCTTTTCATTTATCTGCGATAAAATCATATGTCATTTCATTAGACACAATAAGAAAGTTGTAAAAGTAAAGTATAATTTAATGGATCTTGGCAAATATAATTTTTCCACTCTGGCAAAGTTTAAAGTTCTTTTATTATTGATGAACATCAGTTACTCAAAATTTTAAAAAGATGTGGATCTTTACATGAGAAAAATGAGCTAAGGATGATGGGATTTATATAATTTTTCAAATTGGAATTTTTAAAAAATGCTGCCAGTTGTTATTGCCCAATCAAATGACTCATCATTGTAAAACTGTTTCAAGTTTGTTCAGTGGAATCTTCAAAAATGTCCTTGAGTGAAATTTTTTATTTTAGTACTTCATAATTCCTTCATCTTTTATTTCTCTCATTTCTACATTTCCCCCAAAATCTCACATATATCAGTGATATATGTGTGTGTATATATATGTGCACATGTGTGTATATGTATGTATGTATTCACATACATGTTCTAGGACCCTTCAATTATTGCTTTACATCCCTGATCGAACTGAAAGAAAAAAACCCACAAAATAGCAAGTTTACAACTTTCAAAGTGTCTACACTATTTTGGTATGTTTACCTCAAAACAGAGAAAGTAGGAAGCCAAAATGGTGAACTCTTCCCCAATCTAGTTTTCCTGCATTACTTGGGGTAAATCGAAATACCATCAATTTCAAGGTCTATTTCCCCACTTATAAAAAAATGTGAGGTGCTAAAAAAGGAATTTTCAATAACCTCTTGGGTTATATGGCGTGATTTTCCCATCCAGGTTCCTTGGAGGAAACCATATTAATGCTTTTATAAAAAATGAAAGTATTTCACTTCAGAAGTGCTTAATATACAATTACTTCATTTGCTTTCAGAGGCCTCAGCATAGTAGGTTTTCAACCCAGACTCTTCAGAGCAGGCGCCTGGAATTCGATCAGTCCTGTCACCTGATTCGTTTCCCGCGCCACGGAGAGCACGCCCACTCACTGTGCACCCGTGAGGAAGATATTAGAGCCCAGTTGCATGAAGCCCTCTGAGAAATCCACCAGTGCTACAAACTACTGACCTTACCCTAAACCCATCTGCTTGCAGGCCAGCTGACTCAAGGCCTCCTGCCAGCCATCCGCACACACGTGGTGCTCTGTGGCAGATCTGTGAACAGTCAGGAATGAAGAGGAGTTCACCCTTTTAGAGAGGGTCACTGGAAAATAAAAGAGAAAACCCCAATTAAAAACATTTCCTCTCGGAAAACCAAATGGTAACTTCACATGCCTTTCTTCACGCGCATACATCCCGTTTTTATCTATTTTAGTTAAGAACCATTTGGTGAATGAGTGAAAACCACTGCCCTCAGTGTGGTGGAGGACTAGGCTGAAATGCTCTGTGCCCTCACAAAGCCATGGGCTCCAATGAAAGAGACAGGTAGTTCTTAGCTTATCTTTCTTTAGAAGATGGCCAGAGGCAGGGACCATTCCCAGGAGTTGATGCAGTGATTTGCATAATTATAAGGAGCTAGTTGTAACTTCGTTCATATCATTTCCTTTCAAGAAAGCATATGAGAATGCAAGTGGGTGGTGGTGGTATTAATTTAGAGTTAATTTGGTAAATGCACTAATTCCTTTTAGATAAAAGAACACCCTCTTTACTTAATAAACTACAGATCATTTGTGAGCATTTACTCGCAACACATATGACAACTGTGTTTGGCCAGATGACACATGACAACTGTGTTTGGCCAGATGGTGCAAGGCCTGAAATAAGAGCGCAGTGAATGGAAAGAGTAATGAGTGTAGGATGATGGAATTAATCAAACTCCAGATTATAAACTGCAATAGTGAAGGTACTGGTGGGAGATGTCTCCAGATTCTGTCCATGTAAAGGAGTAACAGAAGTCCCATTTGGATGTGGAGTAAGCATATAGGGAAGATAGAAGGGCCACTTTATCGCCCTGCTCTGGGGCATGTCAATAATACAAGAATAATGGGGTATACTGGTCATTGTTGAAGCTGAGTAATGTATTTAGACATTATATTCAAGCAGTTAGATGCCCATAACAACTTGGACTCCCGTGTTTTTACACATAATGTAGACATTTCACATAGAGAAGTTGGGGGAAATTTTTCTGTGACTTGGAAATTATGCCTATGAGTAAACACTGTTAGTTTTTGCAATCATAAAGCAAAAGAGACGACCTGGGTTGGTAAAATCTGCGAAGTCATTTACGATTCATTTAGCTCGCACGGCTGCAGCACTGGAGTGGACCGCAGGGGGCGGAACGAGCAGCTTACCACATGCCCACTCGTCTGAACTGTCCAGGCAGTCAGCTCTCCCGTCACACCACCGGTCACGCGACACACACTCGTGGTTTGCACACTTCAGTTCATCTTCTTGGCAAAATGCTGGCACAGGGAACAAGAAACAAGAAGACAGGAACATTTTACACATGAATGTGATCATCACTAGCATGCACATTACCATTTGCTGGCAGGAACTTGAAGATGAGGTCATGGAGGCCTCCAAACAGGGGGCAATACAGACTAACAGGTAAAATATCTTAAAGGATCAAACTTTATTTCTGTTCTAAAAGAAGTGGGCATTCATTTAGAAAAGGGAGAAAATACAAAAAAAGAGAAGAGAAGAGAAGAACCACAAAAACTTAATAATCCCACTGCTCAGGCATTACATTTGTAAAGTTTTTATTATGAACTTCTGACCTTTTTCTACATATAGGTACATGTACTTTAAAAACTCAGGACAGTACCACATATAATACTTCATATTTTGTTTTATTCACCTAATGATATGTAATGAACCCAAGAGAAATTATTCTTCTAACTCGATTTTTAATTTTTGCATATTACTTCATTTTATGGTTGTATTTTATGCCCCCTATTTTTGGACATTGGTAGCATTTTAATTCTTCCATGTTATACATAATGCTAGGATAATATCATCATGCATATATTTTGACTCTCTTCTTGGCATATATTCTTACAAGTGGAGTTTTGGTCAAAAAGTCTGAACACGCTAAAAGCTTTGATACGTATTTCCAAATTTCTAGCTTATATTCACAATGAGAGATTATCGGTGTTTAAAATAAACATGGTGTTGACAAATTCACGGTGGCACGTACAGCAGTTGTTCTCGTCCATGCCGTCCGGGCAGTCTGGGAACCCGTCACAGATGACTGTGTTCTTCACACACTGCTTATTGGATGGACATTCCCAAAGATCTCTCTCTTTGCAGCCTGTGGATAGAAGACAAGGTCATGTGCCATAGATGCGGACATGAAAGTAAAGATGAATTTGATCAAACACTGTAGACAAATGACAACATGAAAGCCTGACTTCTTTTTCCTTAAAAGTTTTGACTCCTGTATATCATAAAAATGTAATTTTGAAAGCAGGAATACTTGATAATCTCCATACTGCAATATAAATAGTACAGCTCTGTTGAGAGATCAAATGGGACATATAGGAAACAAGGAATACAATGAAAAAGTGATTATTTGTTAATGTTCATCTTTAACTGTTCCCTTTGCTTTCTGAGTCAATTTGCCAAGGCAAAAGAATCATCTATAAAGTGGTGAGTTATACTCTCAAACAACATGCCAAAACCTAGCGATTTACATGCATATTATCTAAAAATGTAGTTTCAGTCAACAAATGTAGAAACCATCTGTGTGCTTAGCAAAAGAGGATCCTTCTATGCCAAATACCTACAAAATGAGTTTAAGAGCCAGGTGTGAAAACCATTACTTACTGTAATAATGTAGCCAGAAATCTAAGGTTAGAAACTTTGTCAGTCAATATGGAAATGAACACAATTTGTTCTACACTGAGACTAGAAGCTTGAAGTGTAGTTCACCTATGAAACAGAAGCACTTGTGATGAACTTAAGGCCATTTGAATGGAATGCAGTGTGTCTCATCCATGTGCTAAAACATGCCAAGGGTCTCATGTGTTCTCATTACCCCAGTCAGCTCCATGGCCTCACCAGGCTGGGAGGTACATAAAGAGACCACAGGGCATTCATGTTTTGGTACTCTTCTTTACTCCTGCCTACAACAGTGGCTGGCACTTGGCAGGCCCTCAACACATGTATTTTAAATGGAACTTCATCTCATATAAGGAACAAAAAGTCCCTCCCATATCCAAGAAAGATCACTTAGTTTAAGATGAGTGAAATGCAAAGCACTGATTAAATAAGGAGTTGTGCTTTTTTTAAAATGCTACTTCTCAATCTGGCTGGTGTGGCTCAGTGGATTGAATGCTTGCTGGTCTATGAACCAGTTTGATTCCCATTTGGGGTGCATGCCTGGGTTGTGGACCAGGTCCCCAGTAGGGGGTATGCAAGAGGCAACCACACACTGATGTTTCTCTCCCTCTCTTCTTTCCCCTCTCTAAAAATAAATAAATAAAATCTTTTTAAAAAATGCTATTTCTCATCTGACCTACTACAAATAATTCGGAGAAATTTCATCAATGATTAACTCAGGTTTCTTGAAATATTTTTAAAAATCTGCTTTTTTTCAAAATTCTTATTAAAAAATTTGAAGATGACATGACACTGTACATAGAGAACCCTCAAGATTCCACCAAGAATCTACTAAAACTGATAAATGAATTGAACAAAGTAGCAGGATACAAAATTAATATCCAGAAATCAGTTGCATTTTTATATGCCAATATAATAAACTCTCAGAAAGGGAAATTAAGAAAGCAACCCCACTCACAATTGCTTCAAAAATAATAAAATACCTAGAAATAAACCTAACCAAGGATGTAACAGACTCAGAAAATTATAAGACACCAAACAAAGAAATTAAAGAAAATGCAAACAAGTAGAAGCATATACCATGGTCATGGATAAGAAGAATTAATGTCATTAATATGTCCATGCTACCCAAAGCAATCTACAGATTCAATTCAATTCCTATCAAAATTCCAAAGACATATTTCAAAGAATTAGAACAAATATTTCAAAATTTTATGTAGAACCACAAAAGGCCCTGCATAGCAACAGCAATCCTGAGAAAGAACAAAGTTGGAGGAATCACACTACCTAATCATGCTACCTAATATGACACTATATTGTAAGGCCATAGTAATCAAAACAGCATGGTACTGGCAAAAAACAAATACACAGATCAATGGAACAGAACAGAGAGCTCAGAAATAAATCCATACCATTATAGTCAAATAATATTTGACAGAGGAAGCAAGCACATACAATGGGCTAAAGATAATTTATTCAATAAATGGTGTTAGAAAAATTGAACAGGTAGGTAAGTGGAGAAAAATAAAACTAGACTAACTTCTTACACCACACACAAGAATAAATTCAAAATGGATTAAAGATTTAATTAAATATTAGATCCTAAACCATAAAAATTGTAGAAGAAAGTATAGGCAGCAAAATCTTGGACGTTGCTCATAGCAATATTTTATCAGATATATCACCCCAGCCAAGAGAAACAAAAGAAAAAAAATAACAAATGGGAGTACATCAAACTAAAAAGTTTTGGCACAGCAAAGGAAATCACCAACAAAATAAAAGGACAACCCACAGAATGGGAGAACATATTTGCCAATACATCTTGTAAGGGGTTAATATCCAAAAATTATAAAGAACTTACAAAAGTCAACACCAAAAAAACAAAGAACCCAATTAAAAATGGGCAAAGGACATGAAGAGACACTTATCCAAAGAGGATGTACAGATGGCCAACAGGCATATGAAAAGATACTCAATGTCACTAATCATCGGGAACTGAAAATAAAACCAAAATGAGATATCACCTCATACTGACCAGAATGTCTATCATCAATAAATCAACAAACAACAAATGCTGTTGAGGATGTGGTGAAAGGGGAACCTTTTTGCACCGTTGGTGGGAATGCAGACTGGTATAGCTATTGTGGAAAGCAGTATGGAAATACCTCAAAAATTTAAAAATGGATCTGCCTTTTGACCAGTGATCCCACTTCTGGGGATATATCCAAAGGAACCCGAAACACTAATTCAAAAGAACATAAGCACCCCTATGTTCATTGCAGCATTATTTCTAATCATCAAGATGTGGAGCAGTCCAAGGGTTCATCAGTAGCTGAGTGGATAAAAAACTACAGGATGTTTAAACAATGGAACACTACTCAACCATTAAAAAGAAAAATTTTAATCATGAATTGACAGCATGTCCATTCAAATGTGTGCATACACCCCAAAGGGGGATGTATGTTAATTTTCTATTATCAGCCACATTGGAAAAGGTAGTGAGAGTTGTTTTATGACTTAATAGTGCTGGAGTAGTTAATGTAACTCCTAATGTATTAATTTCCTACCCACTTTTAACTTACCTTAACTAGAGCTCTCAGTAGTGCATAGATATTTTGAGTGTTTCATAGGGACTAGACAACTTATTCTATCATTGTGATTATGTGATTAAAGTGTTGATGAAAACTCATTACTTACCTAGAAACCTGGTATTTTTAACTTTATTTTTATTGTTGACCCTGTTAGGACACCCCCCATTTCTGGCCCCCACTTTGCCCACCTCCACTCGGCTTCATTCCCCTTTCTATCTGACAATCAGCACATTGTTGTCTGTGGGTTTTTTTGACTAATCCCTTCACTCTCTTTCATCCCGTGCCCCAGCCCCCTCCCCTCTGACAGCTGTCAGTCTGTTCCATGTGTCCATGACTCTGTTTCTGTTTTGTTCATCAGTTTATTTTGTTCATTAGATTCCACATGTAGGTGGGATTGAGTGGTACTTGTCTTTCACTGCCTGGCTGATTTCACTTAGCATAATAGTCTCCAGGTCATTCTGGAGTCACTTACACCCTGTAGCACTCACTTTGAATTTATTTTTTTGCAGAATATATTCTAAAACTCAGTTTTTTAAGTCTTGCTAAGGCTTTCTTTTTAAACTGAACTTTTACATTTCTCAAATATTTAGTACTGGAATGCAGATTTAGGTCTAGCAACCCCAATAGATACCATGTAACCTCTTTGAATCATATAAAATTACCCACTTAAAACTGCATCACGGAATACCATCACCCATTAACATCATAGTTCAGCAAATAAATCTAATAGATTCTCCACAAATCACTTATACAAGGGATGTTCAATGAATTTTGATTTATCTCTATACATAAAGAACACAAAACAAGCAAACAACCGTACTTCTCAAAACACTGTATGTTCCTCCCTAACAAAATTACCCCTGGTCATTGTACCCTTATTCTGGCCACTCTAATTTTCTAAAAAATGCACTTGTCTGTATTTATAGAAATTGAGAGGATTTCAGTTGATTGCCTGTGACATTTCGTCTAAACCAGAGGAACAATGTTTACTATGGAAAACGGGAGGAAGGTAGTATTTATATCTAAAAGGCCAAAAGAATAAAGTGATTTCAAAAGATGTATTATTGCTTTATATGCTTTGGATGGCTGGGGAAAAAGAGTGTCAGTTTTTTACAGCAGAATAAGTTAAATAATCTTAACAAAACTAGTCTTTGGCTAGTCCTTCAACCACTTTGCTTTACTCCAGAATGTTGTTTACTAAAAAGTAGAAAGTGTTCCCTAACACATTCTGAGGTTACTGGTACAAAGGTGTACAGAGAAATAAAATGGGAGTCAGCGCCACTTAAATTACTGTTGATACTTCTGGCCTTTCCACTAGTGATTTTGGAGCTCAGTGCGGAAAGGTCAGGAGGAGTTTTATCCTTTGCCAACAGAAACAAAATCAGAGAAGGCCTGAAAATAAATCCCAACTAAATGTGAACACTGGAGCCGAGCTCTGTCTCTGTGCATCTAGATGGACAGCAAGAGAAGCAGATGCAAAGACAGACAACTGCTCTGTAATCTCTAATAATCAAAATGATCCCTTGCATTAGGGGGGTGCTTCTCCTTTTACTCAGGGTTTGCACATATATCATCAAGGTTATAAACAGAAACGTGATTTAGGGAAACTCCATAGAGTTAACAGGAAAAACACCCCAATGCCTGTCTTGCCATTTGATCATCTGAGAGGACAATACATTAGCGTTTGATCCTAATCATGACAACTGTCAGCGAACGGTTGACACTGTTTAACACAGTCCCTTATCCTAACCAGATGTTGGTGTATTCAGGAAAAGCGCCATCTCTCATACACACCACAGTTTGCTTCGTCAGTGTCATCGTCACAGTCTGGCTCGCCGTCACATCTTCTGGAAGCCAGAACACACCGCCCGGAGCCACACTTGAAGTGACTGGGTGAGCACTCTGTTTCAAAACAACGGGGCATATCACTGTCAATAAACAGAAAACCCAGAACCATCAGCTAACTTATCTATGTGTGGAACGGTGTCAAGGAGCTGTGACTGTGGACAAGGCTGGTCCTCTGCAAAGCTTAAATAGCCGAACTTTAACATGGCCTTCCTCTGTCTGCTTATCAGCATCTTCCTCCCCCCATCCATGGCCTCATTTCTCCAGATGAGCTGTCTGGTGTCTTTACACTCTCCAGTAATTAACCGTCTTCCTGAATGAACAACCCAACAATTGCCAGAGCCTAAAACATCTTGCAGAGTCAATGCTTCTAACTACCCAGGTGCTGTTAGTGTGGCAAAGTGTTTCCCACTCTAACCCTTCTACCTGGTGGACAGGTCCCCAGTTCTATTCCTCTACCTGACCATCTTATGTTGCCATGATCTCCAAATGCTTTGCACTTGAAGGAACCAAGGCCTAACCATTACCTTCAGAATCCTTAGAATAAAAGTAGCATCCATACACAATGGGCTCTGTGGGTTAAATGTGGTTAAAATAAATACTCGGAATATTAAATTCCTCTCTGTAATTTATTATTAAAATGAAGACCATGTCTAACAGACAAGTACCAAATTCTTCAAGCAACTGAGTTTATAGATTTACTCACTTATGCAGCCTGACGGGCAATTTAAATAGGAAAAAAACCCAACAATAGTAACAGAGAGACTTCAAAAAAGTAGCTAATGTATTCATCCATGTTAGATATCCCACTGAAATTAATTTGAGAATTAACCTTCCACATCTTCATCTGGCATTAGGCAGGTTTGATTGTCTGCATTTTCTACTGGAAACTGACTGCAGTCTGTGTCTTCAGGCCACTGCAGGCCCACGATCCCGAGAACAGACTCGCAACGTCCTTTGGAGTGTTCACACAGCGCCCTCAACGAGCAAGAAAGACACGTTAGAGGCAGATAGAGCTGCATCTGGAACGTATGTTAGGAATCTATGTAGGGTTTAATACTATGTGGGTGTGTGCCTCTCTGCACGCAGTGTGCGTATCAACATACAGGGGTGGGCAAAAGTAGGTTTACAGTTGTATGTGAAACTGTATTCCTGTATTACTATTTATTAAATATTGCATTATTTTCCACATAAACAACCATAAACCTACTTTTCCCCACTCTGGTGTATAGATTCACATGAATATAATAAGTATTTGGGAAACCAAAATGAGTAATATCTCTACAAAGGGAATACACTCCAGCAACACACTTTCCCCAAAAGAAATTTCACTAGCAATAGTAATAGAGATCTGTTTTGTTATGTGTTCTGTTAAAATATATTTGACATATAACACTGTGTAAACTTAACAAGAGAAACACATTGATCTGATGTGTTTATATGTTATAATAAAATTGCCGTTGCAGCTACAGTGAGCACCCCATCATGCCACATGACTCTCACTTCTTTTTGTGGTTGGAATAATTGCGATCCAGACTCTGAGCAAGTGTGTGAAGACTACAACCCAACCTGGTCATCTGTGTTCCTGAGACCGTGCGTTTTTTTCTCCAGGACCATCTGTCTGCTAGTTGCAAGCCTGTACCTTAAACAACATCCAGGACACAGATTCCCTTCTCCATTTTGCCTTCCTCATTTTCTCTCCTTTTGTTTTTTAAGACAGACGCATTTCCCAACAGTTTTGCTCCAAGCTAGCGGGTCCCCAATAAGTTTGGATAGTCTGCTACCAAAGGTCATGGAATCTCAACACCCTCAGCCTCACAAGGCTCTCCCTCCAGAGACCAGCCTGGCTTACCTAGGGCATCCACCGTCTCCATTCCTTCACCTTAGACCAAGCTTGGGACATCTCCCAAACCCATCTATGTCAAGCTCAAGTTGGTTAAAGTAAAGTTTGCTGGGTTTTTTTTTAATGAAAAGATAAACTAAGCATTGTGTTAAGTGCTTTCATTTGTGTTCTCATTTGTATCCAGAATATTTTTAAACTGAGGTAAGAACATGTCTCATGAAAGAGGTCTTTATTTTCTATGGAGGGAAAACATAGTTTTGCCTCAGTATATGACCAAGAAATTAGTTAAATGCCTTTTTTTAAAAAGTCGACACAAGCAAAGTAAGTCCCTAAGCAAATTTCTTATTCCCTTTTAAATGCATTCTTGTTTCTCAGAACTTTTAAACTTTAAACTATAAGTTAATTTTAGCAAGGCAGGGAATGGTTAGCAATTGAATTAGGAAGTTTTAGGGAGATCTGTCTCAATTTAAGTCTGAACAGGACAGAGCCTAACTTGATGCTGGTGTAGCCAGGGAATGTGGGGAGAAGACAAAGCCACAGCATTTCCCACGTCAGTTTTGCAAAAACAGAAGTTCAGTTAGTGTGTGATAACTTTCTGTTGGGTTGAACAGTTTGTTGCAGATTTATAAAAAGCGCACATAACTCAACTGCTGCTGACGTTTTAAGTTAACCATATAACAAATCCTTCATATGGAAGCTGTGTAGTGCCCGACTCTGCCACTTCCCACTTTTTCTGTAAAAGGGAAACTACCATACGCAGTGTGGCAGCTGCAGGGGACCCTGCTCTTCTCAATCCCTGCGTGGTGCTCAGTCACCGACCACAGCACAGATGGCAGGCGCCTCCCTCAACAGGTGACTTTGAGGATGAGATGGCAAACGTACCTTACACTATTCAGCACATAGTCAGGGCTTCGTTAGGTTAGATTTTTCCAACTCATAACTTAAAAACTAATTTTAAAATAAACTAACAGCTTTGACCAAAGCAACTATGTGTTGCTTCATGAATATTAGCATATTATTCTTGTTATAATATAAAAAGGTTTTCCTCTCAATAAATATCAAAATCTAAAATTCATTTTGATCTCCACTGAAAATGAATGATATATGTGTATGTGTACGCCTAAGAAACAGAACTAAAGTATCTCAAAGAAGTTCAGCAAAATGTCAACTAAAAATGCTTCAGGGACAGTCTCATCTTAGGTATTTTAATATGAAACTTCAGCCTTAATTTATAAATTATAAGTGAATGTAAATTTGTCCCAGAGAATACTACATAAGGAAAATCTTATATACATATGAAAAGAAAGTCAAATAAAGGAATGTTAGGTACTATTGCCTAGCAAAAGTGAGATTAAGGTTTAGAAATAACTTTTTAACATAAAATTGATTTTTGATTAGTGAGACTTTAAAAAAACTTAACAAAAATTTTCAGATGTTTGCACAAGCCTACCTTAAATATTACTCTTTGTATGAACCATTCCGTTCCCCCAGTCATTCTGAAATTTCATTGTTTCGGCCCCACTCTGGAGGTGCTCCTACTCTGTCATCCACTTGATATTCAGGATAGAATTTGTCGTTTTCCCATCTGTCCACCATATTGATATTATTGCTTTTCCTTAAACCTCTAAGTGACTTCTGATCCCAACATGTTCCCACCGGTACCCCTCACGTGGAGACGGGCGTCTGCAGACTCACCCTTGATGGGAAACAGCACTGGGGACGGCCGCCACCCACCCCGAGACAGCCACCCGTCCGTGCACATTCCCCAACCACAGCCCCTAGCACATGGCATAGAAGAGGGACTAAAGTGCCTCCTGTCCTGTCATCAGAGCTATTGTTTATTCTGGGCTTATAATCCATTGGAAGCTCTTTACATTGATACACAGTCATTAGACCTCACAACTATTACTATCCTGATTTCACAGGTTCAGGAGTTGAGTCTGGGAGAAACTGAGGACCCTGTTTCGGGCTAGAGACAGAGTAGAAAGAGCCAGAACCGGATACAGAGAGTGGACCCTGGAGTCATGCTCTTAACCATTCGATGTCGCTCATATCCTAAGCCCAAACTGCACTGTTCAAATGTTGCCCCTTAGTTCATTCAAGCAGATAGAAAACTGTCAGTGATGCCTGTCCCCTGTCCAACCGGTGAAGCTGGCATTAGGACTCCTGGTGTAACACAGCTAACTCCTGAGTCATGTAAGGAGGCAGCATTTTGAACACATCAGTGTTGCCAGAGAAAGAGGCAGATACACTCTGTCTTCTGCTAACTCACATCTTCAAAAATGCTCTTTGATCAGCTGAAATGACACGTGATTTTATTTGATTAAAGTATAGAAACCAGTATAAAAGGTAGTTCATACCTCTTTTTTTAGTACTTTAGGAATGAATTCTCATTCAATTATGTATTTTGGAATTCCTCTTTCTTTACCTTTTAAGTATGTATTTTGTTAAATACAGAGCTCCTTAGCAAGGTACGCACTTCGTCTGCACTCACACCAAGTCTTCTCCCCCTGAGTTGTCCCCGAGGAAAATGAGGACATTTGGGAAAGACCCCATCACATTACCTGCAAGGGGGGATACGTTGGCTTGTATTCACATCACACTTTGGTACCAAAATGGTGCAGGCAAAGAACATGAGATATTTGTAACAGTTGGTTTGAACTAGTGCAGGGAAGAGAGAGGACTCCCAGCTGATGGATGCTTCTTTCTGAGTCCTGTGGCCAAGATAATTTGGATAATGGGTGTGGTTGTAGGGCAAATTCATGCAGAGTTCCAACGTAATTGGTTCACATTGACCTACCAAGAAAACACATATACAGCCACATACATACATTAATATCACATTCGAAACAATTTCTTAAAAACTTATAGAAGTGAAGTCTATTGTACCCTTTCTCTTTAAAGTAGCTATGACTAGCATGCAAGCAGTATATAACATTACTATCAAAAGATAAATAACTTGGTTAATGAAGTGCCAAACCAAGATTCATTCCTGTACATGTGGCTGCTAGCACAGAGTCCAGCATGCATGATTTAAGAAGTCTTTCCTGCTTTTTCCCTTTGGCTCAACTTATATGAAAGTGGCTATCTCTTATGAATCCTTTTACTCACTTTAATTTGTTTTCTTCTTCTGGTTTATTCTTACTTCTAAACTAGCATTTTCTTTATCATTTTCACAGCCATTTAAAAATGTATTTGGCTAAGGAGGCAATTAAATGATTGTCCTACATTTTCTTGTTGTTCAATGGATTTAAATAGAAAGCTACAAGGCGGAGGAACCCGAGACCTGTGAGCAATCCATTGCCTGTAACATACAATCGTAGCCCTTTAGGTCGGTGTCCAGCATTGTTTCACATGCCAACCACACCCTAGCTTTCCAGCCTCATTGCCTATGACTGTCCCGTCAGCAGTGTTTCCTTGGCAACACCAGATACTTTAGGAATTGCATGCTTTTGTGGGCCCTGTCAGCTTCTCTCTTACCCCTTTCTCTTCTTAGCACACTTGTAGTCACGCCTCACATGCAGCCATGGCTCCAGCTGCCAGGTACATAGAGAACCCACTGCCTGGACTGATCCTTTCTCACCCTCCCCAACACACTAACTCCTCGTCAGGCTGCAGGACTCATCATGAACCCCTCTTCCAGGAAGCTTCCCCCACCTCTCCCAGTCTGAGCTTCTGCTAGGTGCCACAGCATCTTAGGCTCGTTCCTACGATGCCCTCATGGCCTTTCCTGCATTCTTTACTTACTTGCCTCCCCCACACAATTTGAAGGTTTCTGAGAACCGAGACCACACTTCTTTACCTAAAGTCAGCACCAAGGACAGTACCAGATGAAGGAAGGAAAGGAGGGGAAGGAAAGAGAAACTATCCTAGGCACTTAAAATGTAAAAATATTTAAAGGTACAGTCCCTGCCCCGGAGAAACTCCAGTGTCCATAGGAAGACACACATGCCAGCGGGTGCAGCAGAACGTGATCAGGCTGGGACAGTGCATGGAGCCCAGAGGGGGAGGGCGGAGCACGAGGGCCCGGGAAGCGAGGGTTTGGGTGCATTTGGGGGAACGTGGCTGCAAGGCCGTTCCTTCTCAGTCCACAGTAGACGTGCCAGAGAGGAGAGAAGTAATCAAGCCAGTGTCTCCCTAGAATCAGCCGAAGCTGGCTAAAAACTCCACGCCTTATTATCAGTAATTACTCCAATTAAATGTAATTATCTGACTAGGAAGTGGCATGCACGCAACTAGACTGGCAACAAGAACTGGGGTGAAACATTAAAACAGCCCCAAGACTAGGTCTCAATCTAAAGAATCTGAAGGCTCCACGGAGATTATATTGATGAGAAGCCTAACTCGGCCCAGACGGGAAGCAAGCATCATGAGCAAAGCGCAACAAGACTGTTGGTTTTACTGGGGAAGAGGTGACGCTGTAAAGCTGGCACAACCTTGAGAGTGAGTACAGGGTGGAGAGAGGACAGGGAGGTGCAGCACAGGGAATGGAGTCAGTTACATCGTGATAACTGTGGACGGTGCCAGGCGGGCACCGGAAATATCAGAGGAGCACTTTGTAAAGCACATGACTGTCCGACCGCCCTGCAGTTACACCAGTTGGTTCAGTTTATAATCTCCTCTGACTTGTGAAAGACAAGGAGCATTTGCATATTTGATTTCAGATTTTTTAAATGAATATTCCTCCTAACAATACAAACAATACAAGATGAGGAAGTAAAATAACAGTTCTTCATTTCCCCACTCCCCATTCTCTCACTTTGCCTCATACCAACGGATGAGTTGAATCCTCCTTCCATGCTTTTCCCCATCCATGTCTCTGCTGCAAGCCTTTACACACACACACAGTGAGTGTTGAACTTTGCCAAAGCAGAACTGTACTGTTCCCACCGCCCTCCAACTTCTTGTTGCTTACTTATTTATCGTGACCATTTCCAAGTCAGTAGATGCAGCCCGACTCTATATTTTTCCTAATTTTAAAAATACATGTATAATTTCACAAAAATGGTGTCATTCACACAGAGTTTTGATACAGCCTCTTTCTCTATCTGTGCCTTTCCTTTCTCTCTTCCTCTACCACCCCACCAACTTTCAACTTTCTATCAGCGCATTTCACCTAGTTGACTAGAGATACATCACATGGATTATTTTTCTTTCTTTCCTGTGTGGAGAATGTATCATTTTTGACCTGGGATAAGCTCTAACCCTTAAGTGCTTCAGAACCAAGGGGGAAGAATGAATTAAGTTATAATCATGCATTATTCTGGAGATCTTTATTGAATTCGGCAAGTTTGACTGAATCTCGCATTTTATTTCTTTATAAGGTCCGCTTCACAGAGTACTAAGCAAGATAAACTCTTGTGATATCTGTCAACCTCAAATTCTATGACTTAGGAGATGGATAAGCTTTTTAGCATGAGCATCCGACTTGCTCACTAGGCTGATTTATAGCAGCCACTAGGGGGCAACCTTGTCACAAGCATGTGAGGATGTTCGAGTTGCCACAGGACTGTTTTCAGCACCAGATGGACACTGCGCCTACCTAGCCCTGTTTCCTGAACCTGAATGAGAGTCAGTGAATATCTGTTGGAAAACAACAACAACAATTGATCCCTTTGGAGTTTCAATGATACCCCAGCTTTCAAAGTTTGAATCAAGAGTTATTAAAATCAACCTAAAGACGGGATCATTAACTAAATGACATTTCATCCTTGTCATGGTGCAATACTCTGAAGTTACCAGAAATCATGTATTAAGTGATACATATTTACATGAGAAAATGTCACTTTTCAACACCCATTGGCATATACAATATTCCAAGACTTATCCTTGCCTCAAACTCTAAATCTCTCTTTATCATTATTAATTTTTCTTGAGATATAATGGACATATTAGTTGTAGGTGTACAACATAATGACTCAGCACAGGCACATTATTATTTTAATTGTTTGATTCGAACACCCTTGTAACTTCCACCCAGGACCAGACATCAAACTTCCCAGACGCCCCCTTCATACACCCCGTCTCCTACCGGCCTTCCCTCTCCTCACAAAGCAACTACTGGGTTTCAGAGTCATCACTTCCTCCTCCTTCCCCATCGTTTCGTGGCCTCAGTGTGCCCCACAGTCAAAAGGTGCCCGCAGGAGGGCTGGGACCACGCTCATCTTCCTCTCCCTTAAGGTGCCTGGGGTCCAGCCCGGGCCTGCGCCACTGCACACACCCCGTGAGTGTTGGTTAAGTGTAGGAACCAGAGTTACACAGGGCCCTTCCTGCAGCTTCCTTTGTTTGACAGATCATTTTAAATTTTTCTGAATTTTGAAACATTTCAAACATAAAGAAAAAAGGATAACACATTCTCCACCAAAATTTGACACAGGCTAACCCTGATTGCTCTTCTGACTTTTCTGAGTGGGACAGTAAGTGCCATCCCATGTCAGACAAGTCCCAAAACTTAATGGTAAACACAGGTCTTTGAGCCGACACTGTCACTGTTCAACATTACTCAAGTTCAAGGTGAAGTAAAGAAACAAGTCTGAGAAAGTTCTGGAGCAGGCTGGGAGATAACCAAAGTGAAACAATGAACCCGGAACATATACATATACAAATACATATATATACACACACACATGCATATGCACACACACACACGTGTGCAAACACACACACTTAAATCGGTTGAGTGCGGAGAACGGCAGCAGGTCTTGGTGGTCCAACGCTCTCTGCACTGCTCTCCCATGGGGGGGGGGCGGGGACAGAAGAGGGCTGGGCAGTGTGCTGCAGCCGGTTACTAAGCATGCATGAAAATGCAAGATCCTGTCGGTCTGGGCTTCCAGGGGCTGCCTCCCTCAATTTTCTTCCCAGACCACTGTTTTCACCCCTTGAGACTCCCTAATGGTTGCAGGACAACCCCCAACTGACCCAGAAAGGTCACCAAGTGAAACTAGGCCCCTAAAACTACAGCCAATCCTAGGACCCAAGTTCTTAAGCCTTTTAACCTCCCAGATTCCAGTGGCCTTCAGCTGAGAGAATATGCTTTTAAGAAGCACTTGTTTGCCAATGGAAAGCAGTGAGTATCTGAGTCAGACTCTTTCTAGGTTTTCTGATTCATTCTCAGTTGCCCACCAGCATCTCCATGGCCCTCCACTGCACGTGCCCATTCTACCTTCCCTAACATTCCCTCTTTACACCACTGACAGCTGTTACATTGTCACCAAAACCCATGAACATAATGGCTACAAGATCGTTTTAAGTCGACAAAGTTCCTGGAAAGGAGGGAATACATTTTATTAAAAGAACAGACAGCCAGAGTTTTATGTGGCTATTTAGATGAACTTCACATTTACCTCTTGGACAAAGTTTCCGTTTTTGAAGCTGAGCTTTGAAAAGGAAGAAAGATAGCATCTGCCTGCAGATGGAGCCAAGAAAATAATATATAGGAGCTAATGCTGAGTTGAAAGTAATGGTAATGAGATTAGGCAATGCAGATTTATAGCTCACTCACAGTGACACATTTGTTCCTGATTTCAGTTCATTAAGACCGTTTTGTTTCTTTTCTGCTACCACATGCAAGCTTTAAAAAAAAAAAAGAAAATAGGTATGTATATTTTGGGAGGGCTTCCAGACTTCAGCATTTCGACGTCAATGCAAAAGAAACAGGCTGAATGCACACCCGGCCACGGGAACTGCATTCGTCAGCTGCTGTACTTACTACAGTTACTCAGACGGGTGTTGGGGTCACAAAGGGAGCTACCACCACATGAATCAGGGCAGGGATTGTAGAGGCATGTTCGGTCGCCTTCTCGACATGGAGTCTGACCTACAGAGGGGGAAAGGCACATCCGCTTTCATCATCTGCAAGTTCCTTACGCTGGGCTCTAAAGGATCGAGAGTGTCTGGTGGAGCTGAGAAATGACACCACTTTAATTTCTTTCCAATTTCTGTGAAAGTACCAAACACATGTTGAAAAGGTGCTTTCTGGGTTAATGTTCCTGGTAACTAAATACAGCACAGTTATTCCAAGAGGATTCCATAGGAATGAAGACATGAGAGGCAACTTATCCTTAAAAAAAAAAAAAAGGTGGCTGTTGCTTTTAATGAAAAATAAAAGATAGGTTTTATATTTACATGGGCACATATACTTGATTACAAATGAAATTTGAGTGATTTGAGGGAGAAGTCAATATGAAGACACTGAAATTTTTAATATTAAGTGATATTATTTTAAAGACTTATTTACTCCCAACTCTAGTCTTGCCTCTAAAACAAAATATTCTTCCTAATAGTAAGTAGGTGTCAACACCAACACAGTAAGGATACTTCATCACAGTACAAGCCTTCCGCAGCTGCTATGCCTATTTTCTGTGTGTCCTTGGAACGTATCATTGGCCTAGCCATGACAACCTGAGAACTGGGTTTCTTGTTTCTGATGAATGACAGCAGTGAAGTCGGCCTAATGGCTTTTCCTTAAGGTATGTAGAGAGGAAACTGGTTTTCCCACTGATTTCCTGGTCGTGTGCAGATTAAGTGGATAAGGCAATAAATTACTGCCCATTCTCTTTCCGTTATACTCGGCTACTTCCAGACGCACCATCTGGAACCTGGAAAAGGCATTGCTAGTATCATGGTACTGTGCGGACACACACAATCATTCTCATCTATAATCCTAGGACAATGTTCACTATACTGGACTCTTTGTTCTTCCCAGCACCATTAATGTACAGTGCATCAAAGCCTTGCAGGAAAGAGATGGCACCCGTTTTCTTTTTTTAATGGCAGTAGAGTCAAACTCTTTTTTGCAAGGTAAGCCAGGCTAATTTCCCTGAGTTCAGTCTCTTAAAGACAATATGCATTATGTCAGCACATAAGTGCCTGCTGCTTGACAGACTTGTGTGACAAGTAAGGCATTGAGCACTGCAGATAAAAATGGATGCTCTCATCAGGGATATCATCATGAACGAACCTTAGAATGCCGTGTGATCAGTGCTACTGAAAGTACATTTAAAAGCAAACAAGGGCAGTGGGCAAAAGCTTCTCAAAGGCGTTTTTCAGGTGGATGGGGTAAGTTGGGATGAGAGGGAGGGATGGGTTCCCCAGGCAGACAGCAGAATATGCAAAGCCCCAGGGTAGGCCAGTGCCAAGGCTGAGTCCCTAGAGCCTAAGGGAGACTAGACAGGAAGGCAGAGAGCCCAGTTGTGGGCTCTGCCGGTTGTGAAGGCCCAAATTTTCACTACAGCCCAAAACCTGGGGGCAGTGCCCCCAGCTTCCCTCTTCAGTTCTGTCTGGCAGAGCCAGCCAGCAATCACTGTTGACAATTATTCTGCAGTAGCAAGGTCCTCCCTGTTCACACTCTGCTCTCTAATCCAGCGGTCTTGCCCCGGTACCCTAAATGTGCCTTGCTCCTTCGCTCCTTGAGACATTTGGCCAACGGGTTCCCTGTGTCTGAAATGCTTTCTCTAGTCCTATGCTTCTTTGTTAAGGGTACTCATTCTTCAGATCTAATTTCCAGCACCCCTCCCTCAGGGAAGCTTCCCTGAGGCCCTTTGCCAGAGTCATCCCACACCTGGTCTCTCAGCACCTGCCTGTCCCCCACACACTCACCTGTGAGACTCCCACTGATGCACATAACTACTGGTACTACATCCATCTTCCCCAGGGGCTGAAGTCTGTTTTCCTCGCCACTAAATTTCCAGTGATTGACCACATATTGGCACCACAATACACAATTATTAAGTTGAACTCATTAGAGTAAATAATATAAAGATGCTAAAATTTTACTTTCGATACATTTTATCATGTGACTTTCTTACCTCTCAGTCCTATAAGGAAATAATTTATAAATCCTGCCATTGAATAGTGAGGAATCAAAAATTATTTCAAACAGGAAGGGAGGTTCCTTGTTGATATACATACAGTACTCACAGCCAGGAAAGGATTTCCCTCTGAATTCTGAGCCTGACAAAACTTAGCATTCTTTCTGTAGTTTTTAATGTAATAAATCTGTGATGAAAAGGCTCTCCCTTTAGGTCTAGAATGCTTTTCTCATGAAAGCTACTCTAAAGGTCAATATTCATCATGACAAAACTAATTTCTCTGCGGGACACCAATGTCATTAGCTGGTGATAGACAGACACAGCCCATGACGCACTTCAACCTAAAGGCCATATTATAATAATAGCAAACACCAACCGAGTTCCCGCCATGCACCCACGCTCTGAAGCAGTCTGTATTGTGAGTTTACAGACACAGACACTGAGGCAAAAGGGGTTAAGGAACTGGCCAGCCGAAGGTCACAGATCATAGGTAACACAGCTGGGCCTTCAACCATAGTCTTAACAACTAGGCGTGATAGGCGATGGGCGATGGGCGGGGCAAGGTCCCAGACACACAAACGGTGACCTCTAAGCCTAGGAAGGGTCTCATCAGCCTGGACTGAAAGATGCTTCTACACAAACTGGGGCCTAAAGCAATCAGTGTAAAACTTTCTTTTCTGACAATAATGGCCACATGTTAAAACACCAGTTCATTTGATTTACTCTTTCTCTTTGAGTTTCATGGTGGAAATCACACTCCTTTTAAAGTGTATGTGAGTCTATCGCCTGGTAAGCTGAGGCATCCAACTGCTTCTCTGAACACGGCGACTTCAGAAAGCGGTTACCCTGCATTTCGGAAGCTAATTCCTTCTCATTGGAATCTAATTTCATCGAATACTATCCAGTGAACTTTTCTCTTTCCCCGTCAGCCAACTGAACCTCCTCCCCATGCTGCTGAAGCACTTCCCCTCCACTCTTCTGCCTCAGGAGTGATTCTGCCGTGTCAGTTGCCAGAGGAAATCCACCAGAGAGGGTTTCCTGGCTGACCAGTGAGTGCTGTGAGGACCACTGCGCCGGGCAATCTGGGATCCTTCCTGTGGGAATCCTACTGAAGCCTTGGCGCCTTTGTGCTCCACCCCCAGGGAGACGTCTGGGCCGAGCACACACTCACCGTAGCTGCAGTTCTCCTCGTCGCTGCCGTCTTTGCAGTCCTCGTCTCCATCACAGCGGAAAGCGCTGGGGATGCACTGGCCGCTTCTGCACTCCACCAGCCCCTGGCTGAGACAGGCTAGGAAAGGCCAGATTGGCATTTGGTTACGCATTAGTACTTCTGTCCGTCTGCAGATCACAGAATCGGCTCCTGCTCACCTGGTCTCACCAAGAAATGAAGGGCCCTGAATATCTGAACGTTCTGTATAAAGGAATCAATGCATCACCAGTTTTTAAAAATCTGAGTATTTTTGAAATGGAAAGTTTTCTTTCTAAAATTTCTTGGGTTTTATTAAATAGCACTAACCACAGATGAACCTCTTTGACTACCCTCAGGATGGGAAGTAGTATTAATGATGGTGGGAGTGACACTGTGACAAGAGGCAGGACTTACTAAAGGCTTACTGTGTGGCAGTGACTTTGTCAGCAGTGTTACGATCTAATCTGAAATCCTCATAAGCGCGGCGGCTGGGTCAAAGGCACACGCCACTGGAAGGGAGGGTCAGAATGGGCGGGCAAGCTTCCCCGACGCCCGGCCCCAGCGTTTCATCCCTCACAACCTGCCCTAATGAGCCAATGAAATAAGACCTGCAAAAGGATGTGCACAGCACCTAACACACAATAAACACTTTATTGTGACACTCGCTTATGACATCTGACATTTCAAACTGGATGGGCTGGTGGCCATTAATCTTCCGGTTCTTCAGTGGTGTCTAAATTCTATCACTACTGTCCTTCAGAGCATCAGAAAGCATTTTTATATGACCTCAGCTTCACTGAGTTACTGGCGAACATTAAAACTGCCTATTATTGAATCAAGGCTACACAACTGAACTGTTGTACTTGAGCATTATGTCCCTGCTCTCCCCAGATCAGTCAAGATGGAGTCTGCCCTGGTCCACTGTGTGCCGCTAAGCAAAGACTTGGGCGATTTTCCAGTTCAAGTTCAGTTCAGGAAAGGGGAAAGTTGGGCATTGCATTTATGAATGTATATGACTTTTATTATATCAAAATAAAAGCCATGCACCCTGCATTTCTATTACTGCCTCACATTATAGGCAAATTAAATATTCCATCTCCTATATCATCTTTTTCTACTCTTATTGAACAGCAAAAGATGGAATCAAAATTTAATTCATTCAACAATGCATAAAGTGCATCATATTAACTCTTTCAGGTCCAATTACTTGCTTTTAATACCTAGCTGCTTCTACTCAATCATTTTATGAGTCTCTTCTGAGGGTACTGTAGTTTGTAGAGGCAAAAAAAAAAAAAAAAAAAAGAATTAACCTCCACACTTGACTTTATCAGCTAGACGGTGCAGCCGCTCCCTGAGGACTGTTCACTCACCCGGCACACAACAGGCAGTAACAGTATCATTATTGCCCCAGTCTCTGCTTAAGTCTATTAGAACACTGAAGGCTCTCTTTTGTCACAATCCTCTCCATGTTCTCCCACAAATCGTGCCTGAGACCAAGTTTGGAGGCTCCTGCCAGGAAGCTCAACCCCTCATATACCATCTGTGACGAAAAGCCCCCCAGCCTCTGGGGAGAATGCCCCCTTTGACAAAGTCACAGGTGCAGAAAGGAGACACCGGCAGCGGTGAGAGAAAACAGACGCCCGCCTGGCCAGCCCACGCAGATGAAGCTGCGTGTTCTGGGGACGAGGTGTGGAGACAGGGGCACCGCACTGCTACTGTCCTCACGCCACCCAGTTCTCTCTAGGAAGGACCAGAGTGTAAGAATCTTTCCCTTCAGAGGCTGTTTAGACACTGAGCCCTGCGCACATTGGCCTACACAGGAAAGACAGGGAAAAACGGGAAAATGAAAGTCCTCAGCACTCACAGCAATTGACCTCGTCGGACTTGTCCACGCAGTCGTGGTCGCCGTCGCACACCCACGCCACCGCGATGCAGCGGCCGTCGCCGCAGCGGTGCTCCTTCTGGGGACTGCAGTCTGGAGAAAGGAGGGTGCGGGAAGCCCCGTGACAAACACTCGGGACTGTCCAGCTGTGGCTCCAACCAAAGAGCCTCCATTCCGACTGTCCCAACAGCTCCCAACACTCTCCCGGGACGGGTGGGCACAGGCCACCTCCCACCCAAGCCTGTGGCCCGCTAGGCATGGTCACCGTGACCCATCTGTTTGTCGGGTGAGACACGGTCCAGCTTTCTCAGGACCCCAGTTTGGATTTCTGTTGTTTTTTTGTTTTGTTAATGTCTCCTTTTTTTTCTCACATTGCCTCAAAGTTTATTTTGTTTTTCTTGGTATAATCCTAAAAATTGAATATTTTCTTTTTCTCCTTTTTTTTATTGTTGTTCAAGTAGGATGAACATCTCCATCCCCTGCCCCGGCACCCTTCCCCCTCGCCCTGCACACCCCACCTCCCTCCCTCCACCCTACCCTCCACGGGTCCTTTACACGTGCTCCCTGATGCCCCTTCTCCTTGGAGATGTTCACAGCGGCTCAAATAAACACAACTGTGATGGGGATCTCATAAGGCAGAGACCCAACGTGATGGACTTGTGACAGCTTTGCCATGTTTGCTGACACACGCCACTGGGAGGCGCTCCTCCGATCGTATTCTTCCCCACGCTCTTCCCTATATTCCCTAAGGCTAACTGCGACCTCATGTCCTGTGCCCAGGGCCTCTGAGCATCCCAGCTGGCCCTTTTGTTCATACCACAAAGTGCCTGTGTCACTGAATAATAGCTTACATAAATATGCTAAAGCTAATCACAGAGTCAGTAGGTAAATAATCAAGATGAACTTTGCTGATTTTAATTTCATGAAATGGCATTCAAAGTTGAACATGACCCTTTAAAAGGTAGGTTCATTCTTTAAAGGTAAGGCCAGATTTGTACATAAAATTAACATGCTATCTTAACCCTACATGTCACTGCTACAGAAGTCACCTCTGTATCGCTTAGCAAGCAAACAAAGGAGGGGTCTTTGGTGACATATAACAAGGGGGATCAAGGGACAAGCAATGTATCTGTCTGCAAAGTTTTGCTCAAGAGCTCAGACTCTAAACATGAGCCACAGAAGAACCAGACAGGAAACAGAGCCCTTTCAAGGAGATGATAATATTAACATACGAACTTCCTGCAGCTGTCTTTCCCCTCCACTTCCTTGGCATTGCCTTAGTATGGCTGTGTATGCAAAAAGCATGACATTTACCCATAAATCATGTATAGATTTTTACACATGTTTACACATAAGACATCACTGAGACTAGTAGTTGAAAAAAACCTCCCCTTTCTAAAATTAAGGAACCAACCACTTTATAATTTAACCTGCTAGTAATCACATCAATAAGCTACAAGTTCTTGGTTATGAATTTCTATAATTTTAGACAAAACTGTTGCTCCTTACCACAGTTCTGTTCATCACTCAGGTCCCCGCAGTCGTCATACCCGTCACACACGAGGCTGTAGTTAACGCACTTGCCCGTGTAGCAGTGAAACAGACCCTCACTGCAGTCTGCAAAGGAGAGAAGCCGCTGGTGTCAGCACAGACCACGATGTCGTGGTGGTGCTTCCTGTAACAAAAGCACAGCCACGAGGGGAAGCCACCGTGGCAACACGGTTCACATCTGTTGTTTTTCAGGTGACGAGACCGTGGTAGAGGGAGATCCAATGACTTGCTCAAGGTCACAGAACAAGTTACTGCAGAACCAGGACTAGGATCCCCTGGCTCCCAAGTTAGTGCTTTCATCACTTTCTGAGTCTTTACCTGGCTTTCACCTTATGTCACCTGAAAGCTCCTTTATAGTCAAAAATGAGGAAAGACATTCTCAATTCATCATAGTTCCTAATGAAGTTCATATTCATGGAGAATCGGTGACTTTAATAGAGGGTAAGTAGTTATTTCCTTAAAATCCTTCTTTCATAATGAAAGTCTAGTTTTGTCTGTGGTAAGCATGAGCAAAATGGAGAGAAAAAAACTTATTTAGATTATGGAGCCATTACTCACTTTCACACAACCATTATCACTTAAGTCAGTTGAGGGTTTCATAACATGACCCTTAAATAAGCAAGTACTGTCCTACATTATGTGGCGAGATAAGAATGAGGGATATGTAACTTGAGGAAGCACACAATTTAATGTTGGAATACACAACATGCAAGGACATTTTCATAAAAAGACAGGTCTTGCACTTGAGCAACCAGAACTCCTATCCTGGCTCTACCATCTACTAGCTGTGGGAATTTGAGTGGATTAGTGACAAATCGATGAATCTGGGATCCGATCTGTGAAACTGGCATGAGATCAGGTACTTAATAGGGTTGGAACATAGAGACTAATAAAATAATGTATGTAAGATATAAAGACAATTCAATGGGAACAGAATGTTCTTCAACAAATGGTAACAACTTGATTTCAAATGTGTAAAATCTTCAACAATTAGATTTCAAGTGTACAGAATGAAACGCTGACCTTTAGCTCAAACCATACACAAAAATTATCTCAAAATAAATCATAGACTTAAGTATAAGAGGCAAAATTATGAAGTTTTCAGAATAAAACATAAGGAAAAAAATCTTTGTGACCTTGGGGTAGGCAAAGAATTCTTAGGTATGCCAGCAGAAGTACAGGGCATGAGAAAAAAACTAATAACTGCACCTCACAAAGTTAAAAGTATTGTACTTCTAAAAATAGCATTTAAGAAAACTAAAAGATAGAGAAGTTATATTCTGAAAAAATATTTGCAAATCATGTATCTGATAAAGGACTTAACTCCCAGAGTACGAGTGGAACTCTTACACTTACTAATAAGAAAACCCCATTACGAACTAGCAAAAGACTTGAGTAGAAAGCCTTTACAGGAGATGTACAAACAGCAAACTGGTACTTGAAAATCTATTCAATATAATTAACCATTTAGGGAATGCAAATAAAACCCACAATGCCATGCTATTCCATACCTCCAAAATGGCTCCACTAAAAAAGACAGTGCCACCTACTGGCAAGGATTTTGAGAAACTGAAACTCTCGATTTCTCTTCATGGGAATATAAAAGTATAATACCACCTTGTAAAGTGGTGTAGCAGCTTCTTATAAAGTTAATTATAACCTTATCGTATGAGTCATGAGTTCTACTCATAGAGATCTACCCAAGAGCAATGAAACATCTATCCTCACAGATACTAGCAGATACTAGTGTGTGTGTGATCACGACAGCACTATGCACAAAAGCCAGAAAAGTGGAAGCAATCTAGCTCTCAACTGCTGAACAGATAAACCAAACGTAGCAACTCACATGATGGACCACTATTTAGCAATTAAAAGTATCAAACTACTGATATATGTGACAGCATAGGGGAACCTCAAAAACATTATGCTAAGTGACAGAAACCAGACACGAAGACTACATATTGTGTGACCCATGTATAAATTTCCCAGAAAACACAAACTTACAGAAATGGAAATCAGACCAGTGGTTATCTGTAGCCAGAGAAGTAGCCGTGTTTACCTGGGGACTTGACTGCAAACAGGTGTGGGGGGAAGATGGTGGGGGAGATGAAAAGTTCTAGATGTGGATTGTGGAGATCTTTGCACAGCTATATAAATTTACTAAAAATAAGTGGAATAAGTTTATAATTATTCTTCCACAAAACTGTAAAAATGTTTTATATATATACGTATATATACATATATATACATACATACATATACATGTATATATAAGCCTTCATTCAATAAGAACTAGATTCCCTAAATGTTTATCTTTTCCCTTATTCGAAGAGAATTAAGAGCAAAAACTGATTCGTAAGTCTGGAGAGAGACCCTGGAAGGTGGGCAGAATTTCGGCAGTGCGGATGGAATGAACACTCTGCCATGCGTCAGGCAGAAGGAACGAGAAGAACAGGGAGGAGGTGGGGAAGGGGGGCGCATTTGGGGATCAGCCTACCAGTCTGATGAAGACCAAAAATCTGGTGGTCAACAGGGCAGTCCCCTGAAGCAGAAGCCTGCATTTCAGACGAGTTCTATTCTTCTAAAACTAAGTTACTTAAATATTTTCAGAATCACATCATTTTAGAAACAGCATGGGCCATGAAGATGATCTGTTCAGCACCTTCATTAAGCGGGTATATATGTGCACGCACGTGTGGATAACATATGTTCAGACTCATACACGTGCATAAATTTGTAAGTATTCTTTTTCATTTCCCCCAGGCTGAATAATTTTCAAATGAGATTTACCATCATAAGGGAAAATATAGAGGAAACTAAAAAGAGGTTCTAGTTTCACCTTGATGGAACTGTACTATTTCCTCCCACTCAGCAGAGGGCGCTAACTCCCACCCTGCAGGTTACTGCTGACTGGGACCACTACACAGACACTAGCTGAGTTGAAAACGGCTATGACATTTGTGTTCTTGCCCACCCAACAGAGTTGGGGAATTTGTGCATCAATATATAGACATTTCCTCAGGAAGTTGTAAGAGGTCTTTTTTATTTTTGCTTTGTTTTCATCTAAATTGCTCTTGTGGGACCTTTTGAAGCAGTATGCTAGAATCAGCAATAACCAGGGTTCTCAACTTGACCATTAATACAAAAGTACTTGCATTCCCCAAAAGTGGTGGTGGGGGATGGGGGTGGCATATTCTAAACCATACGAGTTGGTTGTGTGTATGTTTTATTTTGTTGTGTTTGTGGCTGTATGCTCCCCTTCTTTTGATTATAGGGCTGGGGCATCAAATACTTCTTTCAGAGTCTTACACACCAAACATTTCCAAAGATCCGCATGTCCTCTGTGGGGCCTATTCTAGGGTCCTTAGCAATTCACACTAAGACCTCTTGAGATAGTTTTAAATTAATGCTGTCATTATTAAATTATTTCATAAATGAAGATGACGCAAGCATTAAAGAAAAAATTCCTCATTATTCACACAGGTGCAGATTCAACTTCCCACTGTTATGGCTTACTTGGTTAGAAGCCATTCTCAGAGGCCAGACACAAAATTAGCTACCTCTGGAGAACAACGTGGTACTGCCTAAGGTCGGTGTGACTACCTGACGCACTACATAGCCAGAAATACACAGCAAATGGCAAAGATCACAGTGCCTCCTTTTATTGGAGTAACTGTTTATTTGGACTGAAAAGAAATGTTGTCAGCACAATTTGGGGCCAACAAATCAGACTTCAAAAGCTGCTTGCTGTGATTTTCTTGCTCAATACAAGTATAATTTTACATGACCTGAGGTAGATGTTTTTCCAGATACAGATTATTTTTCTTCATGAGAGCTTGATATAAAATGTTACTTCTGAAGTTCTTTCATGTTAATACTTATTTCAGTTTGGCATCTCACACTATAACTTTTGTTTCTTAAAATTATCATTAAATTAAGAAAGAAAACTAAAGAACAGAAAACCTTTTATCTAGGGTTCCACTCGGTTCGCTCAGTCTCTACGAGTCTGTAAACATAAATGTGTTGCCCATTTTAAGATTCAAGTATGGATGCCTAACTGCTAAGCCCCCATGTTTTTAGATGACCAGAGAGATTACATGGTTTGCCCCAGGTTACGCAGCTCATTAATAGCAGAGCTACGAAATGAAGCCAGGCAACTCGCCTACCAGGATTCTTTTGACTGTCCAACTCCTGTCTCTAGAGGAGGGCTTCTCCACGGCAGCAGTGTTGACAATTTTGACCGCACAGTCTTTGTTGTGGGAGGGGCCACCCAATGCTTTGTTGGATGCTTAGCAGCATCCTTGAGCTCAACTCAGTAAATGCCAGGAGCACCACTCCCACCCCGCCCCACCCCCGGCTGTAAGAGTCAAATCTGTCTCCATACATGGTCAATTGTCCCCTAGGTGGCAAAGTTGTCCCTGATGGAGAACTACTACTCTACAGTATCCAAGAATCATCTCTGTCCAAAGCCTCACTTTAATCCCAGTAATCCTGCTCCCTTCCCAACTCACGGGGCCTCCCGTTCTGTTTACACCACCCCCCTTTGGCTGTGTGATGTCTCTACTACTGTACTATTCTAAAATACCACAGTCAATGATCTGCACATTTCTATGTTATTCACCTGATTGGACTTAAAGCCTCATGAAGGAAGAAACCATGTCTTAACAGTCTTTATATTTGCTAGGTACTAGAACATGCTTCACACATAGCAGGGGTTCAAGAATGTTCAATAGCCCTGACTGGTGTGGCTCAGTGGATTGAGTGCTGGCCTGTGAACCAAAGAGTTGCTGGTTCAATTCCCAGTCAGGGCACAAGCCTGGGTTGCAGGCCAGGTCCCCAGTAGGGAGTGCACAAGAGGCAACCACACGTTGATTTTCTCTCCCTTCCTTCCCCTAACTCTAAAAATAAATAAATAAAATCTTTAAAAAAAAAAGAATGTTCAGTAGTTTGATTAATTCAGTATAACCCAATTGCCACCACACAGAACTGAAGTTTCCAGACATTTGAAGCTAATTCCTTCAGTATAGAATAAAATATCTTTATTATTTTGATGGAAATATTTCTCATATTTACTTGCAACCCTGTCTTAGTAAAAAGAATACAGTAAATGAAGTTGCTTGTCATGATTCAGAAGCATCATTTGGAAAACCACCTTAATTAGAACCCCGGCACATGGGGCTTTCCGGAAATGCTGTGGTCCAGCCAGTCCTGACGACAAGCAAAAGCAAAGATGGAGAAGTCACAGAGCTAGAAACTTTCCAAAGAAACTTTTCTTATTTTCAAAAATCTTTTGGCTATACCATTAAATTGTTCCAGGTGGTTAGAAACCTGTTCCTCCTACAAATACCGAGAATGAGACTGGTAAACATGACAGAATTAGTTCGGAGAGAAAGTGAGGAAGCAGTCGGAGATACCTGGAGTGCCGCTATAATAGGCAATGATCTCCCAAGCATAACACAGCACCCAAAATAAATTTTTTTCTGTCATATGGACGATCAAAATATAATCGTTTAACAAATCTGAACTTTTATGGACAAGGGCAAGTCAAAGGCAGCTCAGTTCAGAGAAAACGGCATGACATTTGGACACATTCAACACTGGGTTCAATCTAGCACCTGAGACCACTGCTAGATTTGCCCATTGCCTTAAGCCTCAGCTCCACGCACGTCTGTGCAGAAGGGAACAAGAATACCTTCTTTGTTGAAAGTTAAATCAAATCACGTGGGTAATTGCTTCTAGCACAGCTGATTAGGGACCTCTCAAATAAAACACCCCTTCCCTTCGTTCCCGTAAAGGCAGTCAGTCCTCCTCCTCCTCCTGCCCTCTCTGCCAGAACCCTCGGGAGCGGGCCCAGCCTTCTGCACCCACTGGGAATACCCAGCACAACTCCCTCTCCCCTCGAGAGTACCTCACCTGGGGGCGGCCCTCGTGCTCAATGCTGCATCCACTAACTCAGACTGAGGCTATTCCTTCACTACAGGGTGAGGACCCCAGGAGGATGGCACTTCTATGAACACACATGCAGACACTCCAGACAGAGGCGGATGGCCTTGCAGAGTCAGAAACAATGGCATGCTGAGACCTCAAGGCTGGCTGAAGCAGTTCCGTAGATTAGTATTCTGAGGAATCAATGTATTTCCTCAATGGATCGAACTGGGTCGTTTTCGAAATGCATTCACGAGCAAAGCCCCTATCTTCTTTAATAAACACATCAGCTCCTGAGACACTGCTAGTGCCTTCCAGAAGAGCAGGATCATCTTTGCTGGGCACTGGGGAAAATGTACTCCTTCAAGTTCAACTTCACCAAATGCAGCAGGAAGCTCTTACTGTTTGACGGGCAGCACTCAGGGCAGCAGGGGCCGGTAATGGGAAAGTCGCCGCTGGCCCACCACCGTGGGTAGAGTCGGGTGCAGAATTTGAGTAATGCCTTAACTTGGGCAGCAACTGAGAAAGGAGCAAGAGATCTCACCGCCGTCCCCATACACTGGGCAGGATTCTATTGAACTGTTTTCAATCCCCTAGTGTGGGTGTCTGCACAATATTTCCTTGTAAGGCCACAGCGATCCTCCCTAATGTAAACACATTTCCCATAAAAAATGTTTTTTATGTAAAAGTGTCTGCCACAGGTTTTCCTGAAGAGGGAATTCCAAATTAGAAAAACAAAGTCTTAGTGAAAACACTTCTGAAAATACAGGCGACATAATTGACGTCCCACACGATGCTGGACAGCATAAATCAGGGCATGAGTGAATGAATAAATAAACACATAAATAAAGGTGATGGATTATATAAACAAATAATATTTATGGGACTAACAATGTACATCCTTTTTAACTGCAGGATTTCTTAGAACCTTTAAGCACAAATATGTATTGTAAGTATCTAAGAAGTAGACCTGGTAGACGGCAACTCTCAAACCTACTCTTTTTTTTCTCAAGGATTTTTCAAGAGTCAGGTACTATGGAATGCCAGTTTGGGAAATCCTGACCCGAAACATTACCATGTGAGACAGGCTTCCCAAATTTATGAGAAATGAGCATCCTAACCCTTCGGATGGAAGAAAAGTTGGCCCACCTGGCAAACAGACCAGAAGAATCTCAAATATAGCCAACTCTGAGCTCTTATAAAGTTGTGGCAACTTCTACAAGGAATAAAATGCAGCTTTCCCCGTGGTAACTGCTGCCGCTCATATAACCATGAAAAAGCAACTAGAATACAACTGCTTACGGTTCTGTTTTGGATGCAGAACCTACATTGTATCCTTGAGGCTAATTTTCCCTTTTTATCTATTGCAAAACTGACTTGAAGTCTGATACGTATTTGTTATGGACTGAATGTTTATATGTGGAAGCCCTGACTCCCAACATGACTATGTATCCGGAGACGGGGCTGAGAGGAGGTCATGTAGGCTGAATGAAGTCACAAGGATGAGTGAGGCACTAACCCAGTAAGGCTGGTGCCCTTGGAAGGAGAGGATGAGATAGCCCCCAACCTCTCGCAATATCTCTCTCTCTCCCCTTACATATCTTTCTCTCCTCCCTCTTTTATTCCTTTTCTCTCCCTCTTCCCCTCTCCTGTGCCTTCTCTCCCTCTAAGAGGTCACGTAAGCACGCAGGAGACAGCAGCTGCCTACAGGCCAGGAAGAGAACTCTCACCAAGCACAGAACCCTGTTGGACCTTGATCCTGGACTTTCCAGCCTCCAGAACTCTGAGAAACAAATTTCTGCTGTTCAAGTCATGAAGTCTGTGGTATTCTGTGTGGCAGCCCATGCACATGAATATAATATTGGACAAACCACAGACCAATCCAGTGAAAACAACTCATCAAATCAACGGGAAGTAAACTGAGGGAGCTTAAGACTAAATCCAATGACCTGCAGATTTAAAGCAGTTAATGCCACTGACTGTCTTCGGGTTCAGAGGGAGCACAAACAAGATGCTTTGCCTCTGCAGTGTCATGAATGCCAAGAATCACGAGGGTGAAAACTTTTCCTATTAAAAATGCCCTTTTTAAATAGCTGACCTTTATACTCGTGAAGCTTTAAAAACAAAAACAAAAATCCTCACCCAAAACAAAACAAACGGAAAGCCTTTTCCTAATTTTAAGGCACTTTGGGAAAAAAACACTTCAATCCCAGACCGCTTCCAAGGAGGCCTCTAGCTGCTGAGTGTATAATGAGCTCACGACTTTGAAAGGTGAGCAAACACTGCTGTCCCGAGGCAGGAAGATAAACACCTTTGCTCGCTTCAGAAAGGCAAACAACCAGGAGGCTATGCAAATGCCCCAGGTTGTCAGGATGTGACAATGGTGTGGCTCTGGTTTCTAAGCCCCTGAATGGAACTCCTGTCCTCCCCGAAGACCCCCACACAGCCTGTCACCTACTGCAGTGGGCCTCGTCGCTCCAGTCGTCACAGTCGTTGTAGCCGTTACACTGCAGTTTCCTCGGGACGCAGATGCCACTGCCACAGAGGAAGCTGTCGCCCCCTCCACAGAGCACTGAAAAAGGGCAGAAAAAACGACGTCAGAATGAGGGTTTGTTTGGGGGTTCCATTTGAAATTAGCAGACACAAAGGAACAGGAAGAAAACCTTCCCTTGCTATTCAACAGATTTGTTTCTAAATTCCCTCCGTTTTCTCCAGTTTTCCCTCGACCTCTATAAACTTAATTGTGAAATTGCTTCGGAAAAACACAAAGCATGTTTGCCTGAGCCGCCATTCCTGCTCCGGCCACAAGGGGGCAGCGCGTCCATTGATCGCCTTCTGTGTGGAAAATACCAACGGAAGCAGTTTTCTTAATGACTGAGAAATATTTCAAAGTGAGTGCTATTTACTGAAGAAATATTTTTAAAAACCTTTAAAAATAAACCACATACATGGGATCATTAAAAAAAACCTCACTTTCCATAACACTACTCAGTGTTGTACAGAGAAAGTTACAGTTAACTGAAAGGTGCCCAACGCAAGCATAGACTTTTATGCCCCTGTATTTAGAATGTATGTCCTTGCCTTAATAAAAATGCCAGCTAAAAATGTCACAGAGTCCATTTTTTTTGCATAAAGAACGTAACATAGGCCCTGACTGGTGTAGCTCAGTGGATTGAGCACGGGCCTGTGGAGCAAAGGGTCGCCAGTTCGATGCCCAGTCGGGGCACTGCCTGGGTTGCTGGCCAGGTCCCCAGTAGGGAACACATGAGAGGCAACCACACAATGATGTTTCTCTCCCTCGCTTTCTAGTTCCCTTCCCCTCTCTCTAAAAATAAATAAATAAAATATTTTTTAAACAGAACGTAACATAGCATTGCAAATAATATTTTCTCATGCTCTTCCTGAATACCAGTCATTTCAGTATTACTTGCTTTTATGGTATTCATTTTTTTCTCAAAATTCAACAGATAATCAATTGTTTCAAAATTACTAGAGACAATAAATCTAAGATAAAAAACTACAAACTTTTTAAAATAAAAGAATAAATCTGTTCCATAAAATGAGTGCTAAAATACACTTCAATATCTGGTAATGTGTATCAAATGCTTTTTAAATGTGCATAATCTTAGATTATGGACTTTATAAAACTTACTTCTTGGACTTTATAAAAAGGAAATCACTATGAATAAATGCAAGTTTTTATTGTTAAGGATATTCATACCATCAAGGTTTATAATGAGAAAACTGCACAATACCAGGGGACAGGTGAGACAGGTTTTGGTACCTCCCTGAGAAGGAATAGCATCACAGCTATCGAAAAGTGCATTGCAGAAAACATTTAATGTCATGGAATGAAGTGCAAGATAAAGTAGAAAAATACTGTATGGTTCCAAAAAGCATAATATAATTGTCCCAGAAAGAAGTATATCAAGAGTTACTGTGATTATCCCTAGTATTAGGATTAAAAGTAAGTTCTACTTTCTTCATTGTATTTTACATATTCATTATATTTTACAAATGTTCTTACAATGACCATGTCTTACTTTATAAATCAGAAATTTGTAAAAAACCACGGACAGTTTTCATGAGTTCCCAACTCAAAGTAACAGTACATAAACACAAACCTCACAAGTTTATTGTTGTCCCCTCCCTCTCCTTGATCAGATTTAGAACCCCGTGGTCTAAATAAAGGAAACCAAGAAATGCACAACGTTTTAACTCAGAAACGGAAAGAAACGCAGATCCAACGCTCCAGGCTGCGAGGCCCACGTCTGCGGAGTCTCCCATGTTCCTGGGCCCCCACAGACAGCCCGGCCCCCAGGGAACATAACACATTGCCACAAGGCAAAGAAAAAAATACATCCATGAGTTACTTTCCGAAACTGTCGAAGGAATCGCGGAGTTCTGATTTGCTGGCCATTAAGTCCTAGTTGACTTGGTGAGTTTCTTATGATGCTATCAGGGCAACCATCACAAAATCAACCAGGAAAGTCTGGTTTTCCATGTATACCCCACAACTCCCACACCAGTACGAATTACAGCGAGGAACGGCCCCTGCCAAGATATGAAACAGGAGTATATCTTGTATTGTCGTACGGGACGCAGCCCAGGCCTGCCTGCAATCTCACAGCTACAGACACAGACTGCTAACGTGAGCAGAGAAAACCGCATACGGAATGAGAAACACGAAGACTGCGCCGGCCAGTCTCTGTCTGCAACATCCCCTCTCTACAGGCAAGAGAAAACTTTCAAGGAACAAGCGCTCGTCCTAGAGCGAGACTGTCTGCGTCGTGCTGGCGAGTGTCTAAGTCCACCCGCCCCACCCGCTCCCCGAGGGTCCTGAGGGTTCCTCGAATGTGTAGCTGGAAGCTCAACGTCAGATGTCTCTAACCTCTAGACTTCAGCTGTAAGACCCTACGTATTTTACTCCAGGAAAGCCATTTCCCGTGTATGGTTATATCAAATCGGGATCAAGTTTAAAACATAGCATTTCGCGTTGCTTTGACTACCACTACCGCGTGCCTGGGCTGACCACGCGGAAACTGCCTTCTGTGTGGTCCCTCAGACGGAGGGGCGGCGGCCCCTGGCTGCGGGGCATCATCAGTGTTTCCTTATTCTTTCTTCGGAAGTTCGTAGTTTCATTAATCAATATTATTTTCGTCAAGTAAGAATAACTTTCTTATATTCTCTGTTTGATTTCTCCTTCACCCATGATAGGAGTTTCTACTTTTATTTGTGCAAAACTGTTGAAACACATCTTATCTGGAATTTTCAATTGGGCCCCTAAAGAAGACAGGCAGACATTCTATTACAGAGGTGCTAGTGGGCCGTGTGGTTCGGACAGCGATGGCCCAAAGCCACTAGCCAGGGAGGGTGGAACCACCCCAGATCCCTGAGGCTGGTGCTCCGGGATGAGCCCGCCGCCAGCCCAGCCCACGTTTCCAACACAGAGGTGGCTGAGTAGTCACCTGGTATGTGGTCGGTCCAAGGACTTGCAGGTCAAGTAAAAGTTCAAGCTTGCCTTTATTTTCCCTTCTAAACAAAAGATAAATGTCTGTCCCTTGGGTGAACTGGACCATACGGGATGAAATTCCATGTCAGCTCTGGGTTTTATGGGGGATATCCTGAGAGAGCTCTTAAAAAGTTCCAGTAGAGATTTTTCAACCATGAACTTGACTGTTGTTGTGTAGCTTTCACCTGCCAACAGCCTTTATTTAGGGTTAGTCCTTCCGGTGACAAAGAGATTCCCTGAGACAAAGTCATGCTGTACAATCTTGGGGCCACTTCCACTAACATCAGCATAATGTGAAGAGGCATATATTGGGCTTTAAATACATGGCAGATTGATCAATGGAAGATTCATTCTTTAATTGAATAGAAACTTACTACTGACCATGTGCTAAGCATTATTCTAGCATCTGGAAATAGAACAAAAAAGGAAACAAAAATAATTCCCTGCCTTCATGTAGCACATACTCTACAAATCATCATCTGATAAAAGATCCTTTTACCAACTAAAGACACTTCATCACCAAAGCTGACAGCCATTTACACATGTGACAATTAATCAACATTAATGCAAAGAAAACAGTACAGAAAGGCACACTACTGAAGACACTAGTTTATATGTCTGAATGACAAGGGCAATTACCTATCACTTGGACTTCAAAATTCCATGGATTCTGAAGAATATACACCCAGGAGGACGATCAGCTCTTTCCAGTGCTCTTTCTCTGGTACACCCTGCTAAAATCACAGCCGGAAAAGGACCTTCAGATTTTCTGCAGCTGCTTCCAGCACTCTCCGTTCTCCCTGCCTGTGTATTACAGGCAGCATTTATATTGGCAAATGTTCTCATTATTCTGATCGTTACCTCTTGGAGTCTTTTTCAGAAATTACTCACGAATCTCTGACTGTCTAGGGTCTTCATTCACTCCCCTGTTTCTGAGCCCTTGTTTAAAGTCTGAAGTTCAGGTTCAATGTGACCTCAAGAGAAAACCAGCCTGGTGCACAGCATCATCACCTGAGCCTGCACTAAAAGCTTGTCCATCCTTCATTGAACACGACGCTTGAAATTAAGTTACTGCCAACCATATCGCTCTTACCTTCTACAAGAATTCCTCTTGAGGACAGCACTGTATCTGGGCATATGGGGGGAGTCAAAATCACTGGGTGAAAGATAAGAGGTGAGAGAGCAGAGCAACAACCCAGAGTTATGTTCAACTAAGCAAGCACAGTCCTTCCTCTGCCTTCTAAGTCATTTCAACTGGAAGGCCCTTCATTTTGTTACACATCAGCATGTTTGGGGTAGGCATGCCTTGGGGTACCAGAAAGTTTTGTGCATAAAGAGAATGAGGGTCCCCAAGCGGGGAGGGAGAGACAGAGATGGTGCTGGGCACCGTCAGGAGGGAAACATAAATAAGACAGTTGGCTGAGCCTCCTTCAGGAGCAGAATATAGAGTAGACCCTTTGAAAAACAGAAATACCTAGTGGGATATTTCAAGTTGTTTCCTGAGGGCTGGGAGGGGTAATCACTCCCTCTACCTGCCATACGGAACCAGAAAGCTTATGTTGCACTCTAATTTTTCCACTCATTTACTTGGCCAATTTTGCACTTTTCTAAGAGCTTGGGGTATGTTACTGAATACAGAATAGATGCTTTGCTTTGTGGAGGTTATATTCCTGGGAGACAATACTAATAAGCATAATAAATAAGAAAATTATGGTACATTAGATCAGAGGGCAATGAGTGCTAAGAAGGAAAAAAAAATGCAACAGACTGAGAAACATAGGATGTGGGGTGGGGTAGACGGAGCTAAACACCAATTAGAATGCCAGAGCAGGCCTCGCTGAAACTTGACATTTGAGCGACACCTTGAAAGACGTGAGGAATGTAACCAAATCCCAGGGGCAGGTTTCAGCAGAGATGCCAGGAGGAAGTCCCTCAGGCAGGACCATGCCTGGCGGGTGTCGGGGACAGCAAGGGGGCATGTGTTGAAAGTAGAAGGGGGGGGGGGGGGAAGAGATGAGATGGAGCCTGACATACAGGGTTTTGAAAGGACTTTGTAAGTT